TATTGTTATAAAACGATTTTCCTGTTGTCATCAGTTCTCAAGTAGGCATCTACGCAGACGACAGTAAAATTTACTTCTGTCTCAAAAGTAAATTCGGAATTGTTGACAAAGTTAATCTGGCCGTTGGTCTCGCAAAGGACTTCGAATCTGTGGTTGACTGGGACAGGAAATGACTTGTAAGCTTTAATGCCCCCAAAACGAAACTGCTCTCATTTACCCACCGTAGAGAAACCTCCCTGCTACCTATCAGCATGGCTGATGCTCAACTTCACGAGAGCGTCTCTTTGCGCTTTCTTGGTCACACGTTTTCCAATGACCTGAGGTGGAATAAATACATTGAATCAATAGCTACATCTACGGCAAGGAAAGTTGGTTCTCTGTGTCGCCACAGAATGTTTTTCTCGCCTGAGTCCATCCTTCAAATCTACAAATCTAAAATTCGTCCATGCATTGAATACCGTTGCCATATATGATCTGGTGCCCCCGCTGTTCATCTCGGATATGCAATGTGATAGGTCCTGACCTGGCATATCGACTCCAGTCACTTTCTCGCAGACGTGATGTGGCTTCCCTCTGTCTTTTCTACAAATATTTTCATGGAAAACGCTCTGACGAGCTATTTTCACTGGTGTCCCGACTGCATGAATTTAAGCTTGCTACTAGGTTAGTATTTCTGTCCCACACATTTACAGTTGAAACAGTTAAATATAACCGCCTCTTCTACTCCAAGAGCTTCTACTCTCGCACTCCCCGGCAGTGGAACTCCCTTCCTCTTGCTTGCTTCCCTGATAACTATAATGTTTAAAAATTTAAATGTAATGTCAATTGACATTTTCTGATGTATTGATTTTGATCCTCGTCCTTTTCTTTATTCTTTTATCAAACACCCCCCTCTTTATTCTTACTTTCACTCTTGGTAACCCTTTGCGAGCTAATGGTAAAAAGCTTTAAAAAAAAAAAAAAAAAAAAAAAACAGCGATCACGGAATGGACTACAGAATCAATGGAATACTGAAGTTTTATTTGTTTGAAATCTACTCAATGCAAAATTGGTATCGGGATTTTAAATATCCAAGTATCTCTACAGATAGTAAAGTTATACCTCCAGATTCGGATATCAGCTCCATCTCGAACAAAAAAAAACCCCTAAAAACCAAACGGGTCTTAGAAAACACCTTACTTCTACCTGTAGAAAAAATTGGAAGTATTGATCGCCTAATATTATATGTCCTGGAGAATGAAAACGGTGCACTGAATTCAAATTTTAGATGAGGCTGTTTTCATTCACTTTCTACTATTATCCCTACACGCTGGCGGGCCGCCGATGGCAATGACTGCGGTGCTCTGGTGGCAGCTACCGGTCGTCCAGTGATAACATTGCCGTGGCGAACACGCCGACGGCCCGGCAAACGCTAGTGGCATGTCACCCAGTGGCAGATTGGTGGCTTGGGGTAAATTATATGACAGTTGGAGTTCTTTCTCTCTGTAAAGCAGTTCATCTCCTGCGTCGGTGTAGCACCCGTAAAAAATTACGGCCATATTCACTATTTCTATCTTTTCTTTTATATGTGTGAAGTCATTTTAAGACGTAAGCGATCATGGCTCTCCACAGCTTCCTGGCTTTGTCTGAAAGAATAAACAATTGTATACTATTACGACCTGGGGAAAAAAGGACACAATTAATAGCACAAATTATCATTGACACAATTACAAACTTGAATATTTGTAAATAAAAACAAAGTACAGATAACTCTAAAAAATAAAAAAATAAATGGATCGATTATGAATAGGACTACCACTTCTAAAATAAAAAAAAAATATTTTTTGATTTTTCGAGAAGGGCTTAATGAATGTACAAAAATTATTACTTCGAAAATATTCCCTTTTCTTGACCAGCGGACCAGTTAATTTAATTATCCCAAAATACTCCCCCGCTTTTTTGAATGATGTCCAAGACTCGCTAAAAAGCCAGGAATTTTACTATTCAAGAAATATGGGAGAGTAGACTTGTATATCTCCCCTTGACCTTGTGCCAAACTAAGCTAAGATTGACGTTCATTGTAACTACTTAAACTTGTTATGAATCAATAGTTAACACGCTAGTCCCATCGACTGCTCCGAATTTGTGTCGCAGTGTGCGCTCTAAAAAAAGGTGTCCTTGTACCACCCGAAGCTAGGCTGAGTGAATATGTTTATACCATGCTGCTCCCATAACCCTCCACGTTGCAATATAACAGAAACGAAGAAAAAGGGCAGTGGCTCTCATTGAAGGTCCTTAACGGCTCTTCATCTCCTACGGAATTCTAGTGCGCATGCGTGTCACTCAATCTATGCTTGCGGGTAGGAACACACGCATCTATGTTTATTTCTGTATATATATATATATATATATATATATATATATATATATATATATATATATATATATATATATATATATATATATGTGTGCGTGTTTGTGTGTGTCTGTTTATGTGTCTGTGTGTATTTGTGTTTTAATT